CATAGCCTGTCCCCAGGAGCCCCCCCAGGAGCACCCAGCTCCCTGTCACCCCGAGACTGCCCCAGCTCTGTAGGCTGAGGTCACCAAACGTGGAGCTGCGCTGTCCCTCACTCTTGGGATGATGTCCCTTCCTCCTGGGGTGAGGGCAGATGCTGCCCAGGCCCTTTCCTCGCAGACCCCTGGGCAGCTCCCCCCCACGGGGGTACCTGGTCCTTGAGCTCCTCCAGTCCCAGCGTGGCGATGCTGCCCGAGGGCTTCTTCAGGGGCGGTTTGGAGCGGCGCAGGACCCGACTCACCCTGTCCCGTATCACCTGGGTGCAGATGGGGGGTCAGCCCTGGACCCGCACGCAGGCAAGCACCCCGTGTGTGGGCACCCCTCTCTGCATGGACCTGCCTCCCACTCCCCTGCCTGCCCTGGGGACACGGGGCTGACAGTGGGGACAGCACCTCTGCCCGCCACCCTCCCCGTCCTCAGGTCACCGAGGGATGCTGCGGGACCCGTCCTCCTCCCACTCACTCCTGCTGTGAGTTCCCCGATTTGGGGGCTGTAGGTAGCCCTCTGGGGTGGCCATGTACAGCACGCCCTCCCCGGGGAGCCTGGTCCCCGCTCTACACCTCGCCTGCGTGCAACGGCCCCACTCCCACCGCCGAGCCACAGCCCCGAGGGCTCAGCGCACCTCGTAGACATAGTCCAGGATCTCCAGGATGGTGAGGATGCTGGCGCCGATGAACAGGCCCATTTGTCCCCCGATGTCCCCTGGGGAGGAGGAGGGTGAGATGGTCACCGGGAGCTGCTGTGCAGCCTGCTGGGAGCCCAGGGTGGGCCAGCAGAGCTGCAGGCAGTGCCAGGACTGCCGGACAGCGGGGGACAGAGCAGTCATGGGGGCAGGGGCAGCAGGACGGAGGGAGCAGGGGACATGTGGGACAGGGGACGGCCAGCAGCATGCCACCCTTCAGCCATGCTGCAGCTGGCTCCCACCCCATGCGGTCCCTCCCCAACCAGCCCTATACCCTCCTGGGCTGGGACCCAGAGCTCCGCGCCTCGGGATCCCAGGGAAAGGTGGGGGGAGTCACCGAGGAGCCCGGCAAGGTCGTAGGCTTTCTTCTGCTCAATGGCCTCGTAGTTGAGCGCCTCAAAGAAGATGTCCAGCACCAGGAAGTTTTCCCTGTGGGGACACCATAGTGCTTGGCAAGGAGGGCTGACCACCAACTCTCCCACCCCCACTGCCCCCCAAACCTCGTGACCCTGTCCGCCAGCCCCCCAGCTCCCAGGTGCGGTGGGGACATGGAAGTGGCATGTCCCAGGTTGGGAGGGAGGGGGGGGTGGGGCGATGCTGGCAGGAGGGCTGGGAGGACATGGGTGGGTCAGGGAGATGCTCTAGTCACAGCCACCCCTGGGCAGAGAATGCTGCAGGGACCGCACGTGCCAGGACCTGCTCCCCACACACTGACAGGAGTGAGGTGGGCGTCCCCCAGGTCCCCAGCCCCCTGCCCACGGGCGAGGTAGCGCGCCGAGCCCTTGTTGGGGATGCGCACCATGGAGATCTCCTTGCCGTAGCGCGTCAGGTTGCACGGTGTGGGGCAGCTGCAGCGCTCCTGGCTGTCCTCCACTGCTGCGTCTGGGGGCACGCACCCATTGGCATGGCTGCACCCCCCCAACCCCCTCCCCGGGGGCACCCGGCTGGCCCCCAGCCACCCGCCTGCCACCGCACCTACCCAGCGTGTGGTCAGCACACTCAATGTACACGTTGGGGGAGCAGATGGACTCATTGCCTGTGGAGAAGCAGCTGGTTGGCAGGGTGGGAGTCTGGCCCACTTCTGCCCCCCGCCCTTGACTCGCTCCCCTAAAGGCAGTGGGGCAAGGGTGGCCCCTGGGTGCAGAGGGGATGGGGACGGGTGGCCCTTGGGTGCAGGTTGTCTGGGGCAGTGGTGGCCCCTGGGTACAAGGCAGACAGGGAAAGGGCTGACCTGGCGTGTAAGGAGGGTAGGACAGGGGCTGACCCAGCATGCGGAGAGGATGGGGTGGTCCCTGGGTGCAGAGGGATGGGGCAGTGAGGACTCTCGAGTGCAGAAGGATGGGGTGGGAGGGACACTTGGGTGCAGAGGGATGGGGCAGGGGTGATCTTTGGGTGCAGGCTGTAGGGGGCCGAGACAGCCCCGGGTGGGACTGTCGGGGCAGTGGGGTGCCCCCACGCCGTCATGCACACCCCTCACCTGGCATGTGGACCATGCGGCAGTGGCAGCTCCGCAGCCCAGCCTCCTTCTCACACTGCAGGCGGCAGGCGGCAATGCTGTAGGTGTCGTAGCCGGGCAGCGTCTGCTCCCCCTGCACGCTGGCCCGGCAGTTCCCCCACGGCTGCGGCAGGTAGGTGAGCTGCCGGGGTGAGAGGGGCATCGCTGCAGGGCCGCGTCGGGCTGGGTGCCTGCAAGCACCTCCCCAGGGGCTGTGGGGCATCCTGCCTTACCCGCTGCTCCTGGCAGGACACGAAGGTCTGGAAGCCGGGCGAGACACCAAAGCCCAGCTGATGGATGTAGGGCGGCTCATCCTGGCTGTGGATCTGGACCCGGATGCCAGCTTCGAATGATGTCTCATCTGCGGAAGAAGGACAGAGGGGCTGCATGCCTGCACTCACCGAGCACCTGCACCCTGGGGCCCAGCACCCCTCCAGTGCCCCGCTTGCCCCATAGCCCCCCCTCCGGGGTGCCCTGCTTGCCCAGCAGCCCTCCCTCCCAGCACCCCTCGCCTGTTCCCTGCCCGAGTCGTGGCCCCACTCACTGGTCTCTCTCCAGATGGGCAGGTACTCTTCCTGCTGGATGTCCAGCATGATCTCCAGCCCGTTGCCCATGCCGCCCTGGCGGGTCACGCGCGGGTTCCTCCGGTCCCCATTGAAGGTATAGCACTTACCATAGCGTGTGTAGACCTGGGGATGGAGAAAGGGGAGGGGTGAGGGAGCCGGCAGGGATCTGGCAGGGCGTTCTGCAAGCAGGATGAGGTCCAGGGACCCCTTTCCAATCTCATGGAGGTGCTGGAAGGGGGAACAGTCTTGCATGGCCCTTGGAAGGGCTCATCAAAGCCTCCCCTTCCCCCCCCGCTGCCACCCCTCTGCCCTTGATGGGATAGTGTGAAGCATTGCTCCCAGCACCCATGGGGCAGTTCAGCTGTCCTGCCCCTGCCAGGAGGGGACTCACGGGGGCAAAGTGCTGGGGGCCACAGCGCTCTCCCTGAAAGCGGCACTCCACCAGCATGTCCTCGATCTGGTGGCCCAGACGGTGGAAGAAGCTCTGCATGGTGCGCTCGGAGCGGCGGGGTGGCAAGAAGCGTGAGTAGTTGGCGAGACGCATCAGCCACGCGCGCCGGTCCTCCCCCAGCACGGCCAGCATCTCGGGCACCAGCGAGCGGTTCTCCTGGGCCATCCCCAGCCACTGCCCCACCGAGTAGAGGTCGGGCTTGGTGAGGCGCAGGAAGCGTGCCCGGTTGGGGTTGCAGAGGGTGACAGCTGGGAAGCGGAGCTGGGGGGCCCAGGCGAGGCGCGCCCGGGTGTGCACGGGGTGCGAGAGCAGGTGGTGCAGGCGGTCAGCGGCACCGGTGGCCAGCAGCCCAGCGGAGGCCAGGAAGGCCAGGCTCCAGAGCAGGCGGCGCAGGCGGGACTGCGGCCGGGTGCACATGTAGTGCAGCCCAGGGATCCTGGTGGCTCGCAGGACGCCGATGGTGAGCTGGGCAGCACTACCGTCCCGAGCCACTGCCAGGGCTTCCCCATCCTGGCAGCAGGCAAGGGGCAGTGGCATGGCTGCAGGCAGGGTGGCTCCTCTGGAAAGTGGAATGCAGGCTGCCCCTGAGGCTGCCTGGGGTCGCTGGTCCCCTCCAGGGATCTCTCACTCCTGGGAGGCTTTTGCTCTGCACCTTCCTGGAGACGAATGTGGCAGGCGCCTTCCCGAGCTGTTCTGGTGACGGGCGAGGGGAGGGAGAGGAGGGGGCTGCTGCAAACACACGCCTTCCCCCAACCTCCATTCGGGAATGGAAAATTCCTCCCCGAGCCGGGCTGGGACGGGGGAGGTGTGTTGCATCACCCCAGGCAGGGTGAACTGGCAGCACCCAGTGCCCCAGCATGGTGGGCACCCGCGTCTGGATGGTGATGCCCTGTCCCAGCCACGCCGTGTGAGCCCTGTGCCTAGGGATGCTGCGCCCCAGCTCATCCCCATTGTCCCCTGCCCTGGCACTGCAGCCCCCCCCTGGATCCCTGCCTGGACCCCCAGGGTCCCCAACTGTGGCTGCTCTGGGTCTGGGGGCCCTGCCCCACAGAGGCAGGACAGTGCCAGGCCTGGGGGGGGCATTGCCTCCTGCCAGCGCTGCTCGAAACCACATGCGTACCTTGGTCCCCAGTGCTGTACCCTGGTATCCCCCACCCTGGAGCTGTGGACTTCAGTGGATCTGGGCCCTGTGTGGTGGGAGAAGCGGGGCTGTGGGGCAGAAGGAGTAAAGCTGTGGGGCGGGAGGCTGCGTGGGAGCCCACCTGAGCCCGGCGGGTGCTTTGAAGTGACGGTGAGGCTGTGATCAGAGCGCGGTCTCTCCCCCGTGCCAGATGGGCGGGGAGGCCCCCCCCAGCCTGTCAGGGTGCCTTCAAAGCTCAGCACCGCCGGGCAGCCTCTCATCTCCTCTCCTCTGCACCAGGCTGTCAGCATGGCTGGCAGGGCCCCGACAGCCTGTCAGGGTGCCTTCAAAGCTCAGCACCGCGCTCCCTGGCAGCCTCTCATCTCCTGCTGCCGCTGCTCCCAGGCACACACCTTTGGCACCAGCCCTGCCAAGGCACGGGCTGGCCCCGGGGGGGGGGGGGCCCTCCATCCACAGCCCCAGGAGGAGGGCAGTGGTGAAAGGGGGGACTGGAAAGAGGGGAGCTCCTGCTCGCCTCAGCAGTGACTCCCAGCACCAGCCACGCTGCCGGCCTTGCTGCCTGAGCAAGGCATGACTCTGTAGCCATCCTGGGGACCCGGCCAGGATCCAATCTGGCAGCTTGGTGACAGGCACAGGAGGACGCCAGGCAGGTCAGGAACGGGGTTTGGCCTCAGGGAATGGGATGGGCACCGAGGGAGGTGAGCAGAGGCAGTGGGCAGCATCTCCAGTGCCCAGGGGTGGCAGGGCACTTCCCTCCCACCCCACCTCCATTGCACGCCCTGCCCCGCAGCAGGGAGAAGCCCAGCCCAAAGGCACCCAGGGTGCCAGTCTGGCCCTCGCTGGCTCTGGCCAGGGCCAGGCCCCGGCACCCCGGTAGCCCGGCTCCCGGCAGCCGCAGGCCGGGCGGTGGGTGAGGGCTCCGGCAGGGGGCAGCAGGGCCCCACGTTTGGGCGGCACAGGGCGCGCAGCGCCGGCCCCGCCGGGCACCCTCCCTCCCCAGCGCCCGTTCGCCCGCCCCCCCCCCCCCGACCACAGCGCAGGGCAGGTGAGGGCAGCGTCCCAGCCCCGCCGACGGCAGCGTCGTCCGGGCAGCAGTGGGGAGCGGCCAGCCCCACGGCACGGTGTGCCCTGGGAAGGACGGGCCTCATCCCCCCCGCCGCGGGCTGCCAGCGCTGCCGCTTGCTTTGCTGGAGGAGCAAATGCTCTTGCGGGGCCGCAGTGCTTCCCTGGGACAGAGCTCAGCCCCCCCGGGGACACAAAGCCAGGGCTGTGGAGCGGCCCTCCCCACCCACACGGCCCCACGCCCCAGAGCTGTCACCGGTCCTGGCACCACCCCCGCCACGGCACAACGCCAGTGTGAGCAGGAGCACTGCGGCGGGCTCCCTGCTCTCTGCACCCTCGGGACCGGCCCAGTGGGTCACCCCACCCCACACTGAGCTGTCCCCTCCAGCCTGTGTGTCCCTGCACCGTCCCCGGAACACGGCTCAGCGGCCCGCACCCCCCCGTGCCGGCGCATCTGCGTGGGGCTGCTCGAGCTGTCTTGGCTCTTTGCTGAGATTTATTGTGGCTCCGAGAGCTGGAGGCTGCCAGCCTGATACCATCAGCCCCTTGCACACCAGGGCAGCTTTTATATTAGTTTTCTTTAAACGGAGGATGAGCTTCCCAGGCTGGAGGAAATGTCATTTCTCTGAACGCTTCCATCTCATGTCAGTTCAGACTTTTCCAGGCAGCATCACAATCACCCTGGGGCAGGGTGAGGGATGGGGACAGGATGCATAGGCTGGGGCACGTGGGAACAGACAGCTTGGGGACAGGGACTGGTGCTGGGCAGGACTGGAGGAGAAGGTCCAGCAGTGGCGGTGGCCTTGTCTCCTGTCCCCTGCAGCCCCAGGCAAGTGGGCACAGCTGCAGGGGCGCACGGGGAGGGCAGGGATGCCAGTGGCACCCAGCTGAGTTACTCACTTGTCGGCTGCCAGGGTGCCAAGGCCAGCTGTGAAATTGCGCTGGCAAGAGCACAGCACAGTCCTGAAGGGTTTTGCCTTTCCAGCATGACAAACCCAGTTAGATAACAGGGAGCGTGTGAGGAGGAGGAGGAGGAGGAGGAGGAGGAGGAAGGGCAGAGGAGAGCCTGCCTGTATGGGGAACATGATTTCCTCCCCACAGCTGACCCAGAAAAGTGCCTTGCAGGGCTGGAGCACCCGTGTCCAGCCAGGGACGACGCCTGGGTCACGGGCTCCTGGGCACCCTGCTTCACTCACCGGGCACCCATGGGTGCCGCAGCCTTGGCGCTGGGGTGGCAGGATTCCCGCACTGCATGCCGGTCTCCCTGCTCAGCCGCCACACACCGGCATCCCCGTGCTGTGCTCACATGCAGGGGAGACCCCATTAGGGAGGTAATTTCTCGACACGATTCCTCATTTCCCTGCTCTCTGCTGTGGAGACACGCTGACCTTGACAGAAATAGCTGCTTCTGCCTTGGCAGGCGGATCCCAGCCAGAGATCGCCGGAGGTCGTGCCATCCTCCTCCCCACCGCACACAGCTCCGGGGCCACCCAAGTCCCCTCCACCCCCCTGGGACTTGCTGTCCTGCCCCCCCTGTTGAGGGGAGCCCCATAGGAGCAAGGTGCTGGCTCCCAGCATCCTCACCCCATCTCACGCCAACCCACCCATGAGCACTGGGGACACGAGGACCAGTCCCACGCACTCCCAGTCCCCCATCCCCACTGCTGCCAGCCCATTGTGCCAGCCTCTGGCTGATCCCAGCTCACGCCGGTATTTCCACGGCTTACACAGCTCCCCACAGTATTTAGCCTCTGGAAGAGGATGTTAAACATTGCAAGCAGTGACAAATCCTGATTGCTCTGAGGAGACAAGAGGCCATGCTAAGCTTTCAGCCAAATGTCTGCATGTGAGGGAAACGAGCTGCAGCACATGCGGCACTGGCAGGTCCTGCTCCTGCATGCCCGGGGCACCCAGCCCTGCTCCCACATCCCTGCTGGGACACCCAGCCCTGCTCCAACATCCCTGCTGGGACACACAGCCCTGCTCCCATGTCCCCGCTGGGACACACAGCTGGCAGGCAGGCCTTGGGCATGGGCACACCGTGCAGGAGCAAGTATCCCAGCATAGAGACACCCCTGAGAACAGTCATCACTGGGGCATGATGGGGATGGGGACAGGGATGGGAAGACACTGGAGTGCTGCCCACCCTGGGCTTCGCGGGGATGCTAGTCCAGGTGTAACCTTGAGGGTGATCTGCAGGTATCCCAGCCCAGAGAGCAAATCAGCATGGACAGGGCTGTGGTATAAAGGAAAGCAGCCTCCAAAACTGGAAATGCTGCTTCCTGAGCGAGCGCAGGCAGCTGGAGGCACAGGGGTGCCCCTGGCCAGGAGACACGGTGCAGGAGCTGGGGCCAAACTGGAACGACACTGGCAGAGCTGGGAAAACAGCATGCCCATGCATGCTGCCCCCCACTCTGCTCCTGCCCCCCGCCACAGCCATCACGGCCCCAGAGTCCAGCTCTGCTGGAG